CCCATTGACGAAAACTCGCAAATAGCACAACTTTTCATCTTCAATGCCTTTAGAAGGCACAGCACAAATTTGAAGTCGGTCGGACTAAATCCCTAGGAGGAGTTCGTTAAAGTACGAAGTGTGTAAATCATCCAAAATTTGACGTAAAATTCAAAATGGCCGACTTCCTGTTGATTTTAGGGCATCGCTCCAAGAGGCTTTTTGTGCGTCTGGACAAGATACACGTACCACAGAAAATTCGTGCACGTAGGTAAAACGTGCGGCGGGGGCTGCTTCGTTAAAAGTCACTTCCTGTTGCCAGTAGGTGGCGCTATGACTGTCTGTGAATGTGAGCATGTACATGTGTTCAGGGCGGGACTCTCATCCTACATGTACAGTTTGGTCCAGATGTGAGCATGTACACTGAAGTTACGACAACTTCCGTGTCATGGCGAAGAGCTGATCTTTGACGCCACGTCACGGACACGCCCATTGACGAAAACTTGCAAATAGCACAACTTTTCATCTTCAATGCCTTTAGAAGGCACAGCACAAATTTGAGGTCGGTCGGACTAAATCCCTAGGAGGAGTTCGTTAAAGTACGAAGTGTGTAAATCATCCAAAATTTGACGTAAAATTCAAAATGGCCGACTTCCTGTTGATTTTAGGGCATCGCTCCAAGAGGCTTTTTTGTGCGTCTGGACAAGATACACGTACCACAGAAAATTCGTGCACGTAGGTAAAACGTGCGGCGGGGGCTGCTTCGTTAAAAGTCACTTCCTGTTGCCAGCAGGTGGCGCTATGACTGTCTGTGAATGTCAGCATGTACATGTGTTCAGGGCGGGACTCTCATCCTACATGTACAGTTTGGTCCAGATGTGAGCATGTACACTGAAGTTACGACAACTTCCGTGTCATGGCGAAGAGCTGATCTTTGACGCCACGCCACGGACACGCCCATTGACGAAAACTTGCAAATAGCACAACTTTTCATCTTCAATGCCTTTAGAAGGCACAGCACAAATTTGAGGTCGGTCGGACTAAATCCCTAGGAGGAGTTCGTTAAAGTACGAAGTGTGTAAATCATCCAAAATTTGACGTAAAATTCAAAATGGCCGACTTCCGTTGATTTTAGGCTATGGCTCCAAGAGGCTTTTTTGTGCGTCTGGACATGATACACGTACCACAGAAAATTCGTGCACGTAGGTGAAACGTGCGGCGGGGGCTGCTTCGTTAAAGGTCACTTTCTGTTGCCAGCAGGTGGCGCTATGACTGTGGGTGAATGTCGGCATGTACATGTGTTCAGGGCGGGACTCTCATCCTACATGTACAGTTTGGTCCAGATGTGAGCATGTACACTGAAGTTACAACAACTTCCTGTTTCATTGCGAATCATCGACGCCACGGACACGCCCATTGACGAAAACTCGCAAATAGCACAACTTTTCATCGTCAATGCCTTTAGAAGGCACAGCAGAAATTTGACGTCGATCCGACTAAATCCCTAGGAGGAGTTCGTTAAAGTACGAAGTGTGTAAATCATCCAAAAATGGCCATAAAATTCAAAATGGCCGACTTCCTGTTGACTTTAGGCTATGGGTTCTTGAGGCTTTTTGTGCGTCTTGATACGATACATGTCCCCAGAAAATTTCGTACATGTAGGTTGAACGTGAACGAGGGGCTAATCATTTCCAATTTTCAAGGTGGCGCTAGCGAGTCATTTTGCCACGCCCATGTGCGAAACTTGTAGAATACGAAATTTTCACCGGTTCTGACATGTTTGCAAATTTTGGTGAGTTTTCGAGTATGTTTAGGCCATGTCATTTGGGCCTACTTTGCAGAAAAAAAAAAAAAAAAAAAAAAAAAAAAAAAAATATAATCCGAGCAGATTCAATAGGACCTCGCACGGTCGTGCTCGGGCCCTAATAATCCGAGCAGATTCAATAGGGACCTCGCACGGTCGTGCTCGGGCCCTAAAAAAAAAATAATCCGAGCAATTTCAATAGGGACCGAGCACGGTCGTGCTCGGGCCCTAATTAATCCAACTTGTGAATCCTGTCATGTGAATCCATCGCTCTCTGTCGGCTAACTTCTCTCATCCTGCACCGTGTTGTTGTTTTCGTGAGGTTGCTGCCTTCAGAATAAAAGCGCATAAGCCGTCTGTCGGAGCTAGATCAAATGAATGACGTGTATTTGATATTAATTGATAATTTTTACATAAGTATCATTCTGTTTGAAATAAATAAACTGTTTCATGGTAGTTTCAGTTTTGTGCAAAAAGAATTAAAGGCCTGTCCCATATGGACGGCTGTCCCAAATGAAGGCAGGGTCAATTCAGTGAGTTTCACAGTATGTGTCACTATTAGCAGTAAAATAAAGGGCAGTATTCAACAGAAGTTTAGCTGCTGATCTGAGCTTCCATGGTATTACCGTTTTATTGCCAATAATATTCATCATCTGTCTCAGGAAGGTAACGGCACATTTCTGTCCACGCTGCAAAGCCATGACAGAGCGCTGTAGAATAACTACATGAAATTACAATCCAACTACACATTTCTTCTACCAGCGCAGTAAGAGCTTCGACGCTGGAAGCTGCCAATAAGTGATCAGCTGATTGTCTCATGAACATAACAAAACCAAAACAGCGCTGGAGAGAGAGAGTAAGAGTTTCCTCTTCTTCTTCTACAGACGCATTTAATGTAGTGACGGGCGGAATTACACAAGCAGAAGAAGAACGCCATAATGAGGAAACTGTTTGTCCGTTGTCGGCTACGGTAGAAACATGACCACACAATACAGCGACCTCCACAGCAGGGGGTGCCTGCGGTTATGTAGATTCTCATTCTAAGGTAATAAAAACATAACAGTTCATTATGTAAGGTCTTTATACACCACTGAAAACATAGTTATGGATCTTATATTGCATTTCTGTCAATAGATCCTAAGAAATATTACACACTGGACCTTTAAATATCATATACCTGCCTTTACCGTCACAAACTGACGCTACAGGGCTTCCCCCACTGCGTTGACCTATGAAGCTATAGGGATCCCCAGTACGTTACAAACAGACAACGATGGAACAGATGTCTTTTTTTTTTTGGTTTTCCGTTCCAGTTTTAAAACACAGAAACCAAAAAACGACTTGGTTTTTTAGTTTTTTCTGATTTGGTTTTGAAACAAAAGAACGAACCATACACAGATTTATCCACCGGGGCTAAGCTACCTGTTGATGGTCAGTAAATGCTGCCATGTCAAAGGCTGACTGCTTGTTAAACTACATGTCTCGTTTTGAACTTCTTCATGTATTAAATTTAGAATATGTGACAGTGGTGTGGAGGATTACGAGATGTTAAAAGCACCATCGACCGAGCTGGACCAGGTAACAGTGTAATGTGGCACGTAATGTGATTTATTTTACTGTGGAGTAATTTAAGTCCTTCGTAAATGAGTAATGAAAAGACTAATTTATTAAAATAACTTGGCCACCACTGCTCTACAATTCCACTAACCATTGTGACGACAATTTAGTAATCTAGTTATAGTAATAGCAGCAGATCTTGTTAATTGACATTTTGACATTTCATAATAACAACACATTTTATTTATATTGAGTACTTTTGAAGATATGCATATGCTTTATGTGACAAATCAGACAGATTAAAACCTACAAAACACTTCTGTCTTTACCTTTTTTAATTTTGCATACCACAAATAGCAGTTTGACAGCAGAGCATAAAAAAACAGATGAGACCTTACACAACAGGCACACTGCAATAACATGTTTTCTCACTGCAGACATTTTGACTGTTCACAGTAAGAAAAGCACAGGTGTTTCTAACAACATTAGGGGTGGCCCTGTTCAACTGCCCCGGTAAGCCCAGGCAGTGTGGCAGTGTGAACACACCCTGAAAGTGACACAGCTAAATGGAATTCAGCCATCACACCCTGAAACTGACACAGCTAAATGGAATTCAACCATCATGGCTGGGAATGTTTTCACCAACTTGTGTGTGTCAAACAGTAGCCCCTGGCACAGGCTAAAAACTGTCTGTGTCTGTGGACAGATTTTGAACGTCACCACTGTGCAGGTGTGTAGTTGCAGCCTGTCCTCACCAGAAATATGAACGTATATGTCGTTTGTTCAAGCAGCTTATTATGACCCATATTTGCGTTTATTGCTGCAGTGACCCCTTGTGGCCGTATGATGAAGTCAGATGACATAGCATAAAGAGCGAGACAGTCCCTGTTGGAACGGGGTGGATGGATAGCCTTTCACACTGGAGGCTGGTGTTGGAGTCTCATGTGAAAGTCAATGTTGAGGTATTTAGAGTTTTAAGGCAAATAGTATTACTGACTTACGTCGACGTCACGTGACATGTGATTTATGTTAAAGTTTTCCTAAACCTAACCAAGTAGTTTTGTTACTTAAACCTAACCAAACTGCGACCATTTGAAAACCATTAATCAAGTGTTTAACGTCATGTGCAGCATTGTTGTTCAGTCTTTTCAATGTTTGACATTGGAGTAAGAGCCGAGTTTGCAAGACAGAATTATTTTGTCGCTTCAGTTCATGATGCTCAGTATTTACTTGTGGATTCAAATGCCTAGAGTCTTGTACATGGCTGTGCTTTGAGGATAAATATTTTTAAGGCTTTTAGAGACACCTGTAAAGGCAGCAAGTCAAGCCCACTGAAAATAAACATACGGACAGGTTATTCTAAATCTTATAATTCTTTCTGACTATTAGAATTTAGGACTGGGTCCATGACTACACCAAGATTTCTGACTTGGTTTGCTTTTCTTTTCTTTTGCCACTTTGAATTTCCTCATGGTTGAAAGGTGCTATCATCAAGCTAAACATAGGCTATTTTTTCAGCTTTGTAACCCAGCTGTTTGATTAACAAGACATTGTCTCAAGAGAGGTGACTCATGAGACAAAAATGTGGTCAGAGATCTTTTTTTTTCATCTGGAGTCTGCACACAGTCCCTCCGCTTCACAACGCAGCTCTGTATGACGAACGCTGTATCTCTGTCCGACAGGGTTCAGAGGTGCCACAAATCCAGATGAAAGGAGGATTGTTCTAGTCGGGAAGACTGGAGTAGGGAAGAGCGCTGCGGGAAACACCCTCCTGGGGAGAGAAGCTTTCGAATCAGAACTGTCTCCGTCTTCCCTGACGTCTGAATGCCAGAAAGCCAAGGGGAGCGTTGGAGATCGAAAGGTCGCTGTCATCGACACTCCGGGGCTGTTTGACACTAATTTCACCCAAGAAGAAGTGTTGAAGAGGATCAAGATGTGCATCTCTCTGTCTGCTCCTGGTCCTCACGCCTTCCTGATAGTTCTGCAGCTGACCAGATTCACCAAGGAGGAGAACGAAACTGTGAAGATGATTCAGACCACTTTTGGTGAGGAGGCAGCTAAATACACAATAGTGTTGTTCACACACGGAGACCAGCTGAAGACGCAAACCATTGAGGATTATATTTCAGCGAGTGCTGACCTGAAAGCCTTCCTTCGGCAGTGCTATAATCGATACCACGTCTTTAATAACGAAGTCAAAGACCCTGTACAAACCAGTCAGCTCCTGGACAAAATTGACAAGATGATTATGGCTAACGGTGGAAGCTACTACACCAACGAAATGTTCATGAGAGCAGAGGAAGCCATAGAAAAGGAGAAAAAGCGACTCCTGAAGGAGTTGGAAGCACAGAAGCAGAGAGAGCTGGATAAACTGAGAGCCAAATATTTAGAGCAGGATTTGAGAAGGGAGGAGTCACGGCTGCAGAGGAGATATGAGAATGAAGCAAGAGCTCAAGCTGAAAGATCTAATGAGTTTGTCGCCGCTCCGGTAATAGCTATAGCAACAGCCTGTGGTGCTGCTGTCGGAGGTCTGATCGGAGTTGCAGGAGGTCCAATCGGCATGGTAGTTGGAGTCGCAGCTGGAGCCGCTGTTGGAGCTGCCGTGGGTGCTTTATCACTGAGAGTCTCAGAGCATTGCCATGTGCAATAAGGACAGTACAACTTACAGATAAATGTTTATATTTAATTGATTTCTTGAAAAAATATAGTCCTCTACTCTAGTGTACCATTGCTTCTTAGTAAACTCTTTGCATAAATAATTTGCATTAAAGATGATTAATAATCACTTTTTGTCAATAATTGAAATATTTTGTACCTGAAATAGAGCTAATCGACTTGTATTACTATGCATCATTAACAGTGTCTTGACTGTATAATATTTGTATAACATAATAAAAATCATTGATGTACTTTTCATGATGGATTATGACTGAATTATCATCATTTGGATTCTGTGCATTTGCATTTGATGTGTATATGAAGGAGGAGAAACAGATCATTTCCATCTTTTTGTAAAACGTTACTTAGACAGGAATAAATGCATTTGTTGGGGACTTTTTTCAGTGGATGATTATTCCACATTTGGTGCTCTAGTGAGTATTTGGGGCAGCAGGGTGTATGTGGGATAGTTCAGTTATTTATTGTTTGGCCAACATGAGTTCCATTTTGTCCAGACTGGACCGTTAGTAGCAGTCTAAGCTGGGCCAACATGGCTCCTGACCAGTTCTCTTTCCTCTCCTCTGAGCAATCACAGCACCACCATGGTACCTGGTTCGGTTGATCTGGCTGGTGGATTGGCTAAGGTCCACTGCTCTTTAATCCAAAACCATGTCTTTCTTTTCCAATTAGCATATTTCTGTCATAGGTAGCACAATAAAAGTGTAGCAAAGTTTGAACGCGCTACCGGCTGCTGCATCTACATGGGCTGCTCGTTGCCATAGCAATTTGCAATTTGGTTAGGGTTAAGCAGCGGCGTCGTTAGCCCTGGGCATCCACAGATGTTTTTTGAAAAGCCCTGGATCTCAGAAGTATTTTTATAAAACAAACAACAAAAGGCTGAAAATTGAACTAACTAATGTTACGTGCACAGGAGCGAGCGAGAGAGAGATTATTGTTATTATTTATTCTCCTGCAAATTAGCGGAGAATAAGATAATACAGCTGTAGCTCTGTGTCTGCCCTCTCTGCTCCACCTGAAGTTTTATTTCACAATGCCTTCCTGGCTCAGGCAATTTCGGAGCTGGCTCATATAGGAGGCGGTTTACTAAGAGACCAGTCACTCACTCACACTCTCTGCATCAGTCGCGGACAAAATGTAGCCGATAGAAATGTTGAGGGAGGAAAAAAGAAGTTGCTGAGGCCGGTGCAGCTTCTTCTTTTGTGCTTTCATAAGCCGGCAAGTGAAATACTTTCACTTTCCATTAATGATGCATTAAAAGTGTCTCTGCAGAGCAAATGAAGACGACTACACACTGTAAGATCTATGTCAGATGATCACTGCATTGATTGAGATTTTTAAAATATATTAAAAGTGTCCTGTTGTTGAACAGAGCATCACTTTGGACATAAGCCTGTTTCTTTTATTCAATTATTATGTGAAGATATGAAGTTTTATGAGCTGGGCTAAGCCCCCAATGTTTCAAGATCCTAAAAATGCCCCTGGGTTTAGGCAACAAAACCACTGGGTTAGGTTTAGGTAATACAACTACTCGGTTAGTTTTAGGCAATAAGGCGACTCGGTTAGGTTTAGACAACGAGACCACTCGGTTAAGTTTAGGCAATACAACTACTTTGTTAGGTTTAGACAACAAGACCACTTGGTTAGGTTTCAGTTAGGTTTAGGCAACAAGACCACTCGGTTAAGTTTAGGTAATACAACTACTCTGTTAGGTTTAGACAATAGGACCACTTGGTTAGGTATAGGCAACAAAACCACTTGGTTAGGTTTCAGTTAGGTTTAAGCAACAAAACCACTCAGTTAGGTTTAGGTAATACAACTATTCGGTTAGGTTTAGGCAACAAGACCACTCGGTGAAGTTTAGGCAGTACAAATACTCGGTTAGGTTTAGGCAACAAAACCACTTGGTTAGGTTTCAGTTAGGTTTAAGCAACAAAACCACTCAGTTAGGTTTAGGTAATACAACTATTCGGTTAGGTTTAGGCAACAAGACCACTCGGTGAAGTTTAGGCAGTACAAATACTCGGTTAGGTTTAGGCAACAAAACCACTTGGTTAGGTTTAGGTAATACAACTATTCGGTTAGGTTTAGGCAACAAGACCACTCAGTTAGGTTTAGGAAAAGATTGTGGTTTGGGTTAAAATACGTTTGTTACGTTAAGTCACGTGACATTTACCATGTGACTTAACTCATGTGACATAAGTGGGTAATGCTATTTAACTTAAAACTTTACATTACTCAACATTTACTTGGTCTCCTGTGTGAAAGTCCTGGGTTTGACCCATTCTTTCACCCCATGCATCTACTTAAGCTATTTCTCGCTCTTTATAAGATGTCACCTGACTTCCAATTTGCCAACTTTTCTGCACTATATTTAGAATGAGCCACTTATATCTACTAAACCGCGGGCACCCCCTTCCATGGAGGTAGCAGTATTGTGTCTTCATGTTTCTATGATAGCTGACAATGGACAAACAGCGTTACAGAGCGTGTTTCGTCATCACGGCGTTCTTCTGCTTGTATAATTCCAGCAGTGTAGACGCCCGTCACTACCTTAAATGCGTCCGTAGAAGAAGAAGAGGAAATAATAATAATCCATCCATCGTCAACCGCTTATCCTGCATACAGGATCTTGTATGCAGCCAATCCCAGCTGACATCGGGCGAAAGGTGGGGTACACCCTGGACAGGTCGCCAGTCCATCGCAGGGCCACACAACCACTCACACTCACACTAAGGACAATTTAGGGTCGCCAATTAACCTATCCACGTCTTTGGATAGTGGGAGGAAGCCAGAGAGAACCCACGCAGACACGGGGAGAACATGCAAACTCCACACAGAAAGGCCGGGGCAACCGGGGTTTGAATCCATGACCTTCTTGCTGTGAGGCGACAGTGCTAACCACTACACAGTCTCTGATTACTCCTCTGGTTTATTAGAAGTTAGAAGAGAAGTGACATTTGGACAAATGAACGAGCACACGTGTAATTTTACACGAGAGCCGACAGCATGTGGATCTTAATAAGATGAAGCCAGATGGAGTTGGGACAGATACAGAGAGCTGACGGCAAAAAAATCACGGACATGATCGGTGTGGATTTTCCCAGATGGAAGGCTACAATATGGGACAGATGTTTTCAAAGCGGAGCTTAAGTTTTTAATTGAGGTTGTCAGACTTTAGCGACGCAAATGAAAGCTGCTGTTTTATAGCTTTAGCTAGAAGCTAATCATAATCAATGACAGACCTGGCGTGTTTCTCCTTTCAGTGGTGTAAAATATGTAACATTAGTTGGATTCATTTAATGGAGCCTTGTTATTCTCCAGTGCTGTGGTTTGGCTTTTCCGGTCACGTTAGCTAGACAATCAGCTGATCAGTAAAGTTAGTTGGCAATAAAACAGTAACGTTAGCTCACAGCATGGAAGCGATCAGCCAGCTAACCTATTACTGCTCTGGTAGAAAAAACATGTAGTTGGATTAATTTCATGCAGTTATTCTCCAGCGCTGTACTTTGGCTTGTGGTGTAAAATATATAGTTTGATTAATTTCATGTAGTGACTCTCTGTCTCCAGTGCTCTGTTTTGGCTTTGTCACTACTTTGTGAGACAATCAGCTGATCGTTAATTGGCAATCAATCAGCTGATCACTAATTGGCAATAACAGGTAGCTTCCAGCATGAAAGCTCAGATCAGCCAGCTAAACTTTTACTGCCCTGGTAGAAATAAATATGTTGTTGGATTGTAATTTAATGTAGTTATTCTACAGCGCTCTGTTATGGCTTTGCAAGGTGGACAGAAATGTGCCGTTACCTTCCTGAGACAAACAGATGATGAATATTATTGGCAATATAACGGTAACAGCATGGAAGCTCAGATCACCAGCTAAACCTCTGTTTTATACTGCCCTGTTGGAAAACAGGTATTTACTTAACTGCTAATAGTGACACATATCATGACTGTGTGCCTATCAAGTGACCAATAATTAATACTTTCCGAATATGCATTAAAAAAGGTGTTTTTTGGATAGTGCCACTGTGCACGCAAATATGTAATTTGTACTTTCACATGCTAAATACCCATTAAAAACGTTGCACCATTTTACCACAAGCTGAAATTATGGCTGTCAGTACTACTTTGTGTTTCTGTTGTATTTCAAAAAATTAAAAAGACATTTTGGTAAGATTTGCAGAGTGCTTATCTAATTAAGCAAAGTGAGAGGAGCCTTGATCCTCACCAGCCAATGCCTTTGTAAACTTCATGTATTATGTTGCCATATTTTATCTCAACAGTATCTCGGAAGCAGATGAAAAGTGATGAACTCCGAATAATTTTGGTGGGGAAGACAGGAGCGGGGAAGAGTGCCGCAGGAAACACCATCTTGGGGAGCGAAGTGTTTCAGTCACAACTGTCTGCTGCTTCCTGGACATTTCAATGCAAGAGGGCTGAGGGAGAGGTTAGAGGTCGAAATGTCACCGTCATCGACACTCCGGGGCTGTGTGACACAAATTTCACCCATGAAGAAGTGTTGGAGAAGATTGAGCAGTGTATTTCTCTGTCTGCCCCTGGTCCTCATGCCTTCCTTGTGGTTCTGAGGCTCGGCAGGTTCACCCAGGAGGAGAAAGACACCCTGAGGATGATTCAAAGCACTTTTGGTGAAGAGGCAGCTAAATACTCACTAGTGTTGTTCACACATGGAGACAAACTAAAGAAACAAACTATTGAAAGCTTTGTTTCAAAGAGTGAAGAACTCAAAGAGTTCATTCAGGAATGCTATGGGAGATATCACGTCTTCAACAACCAGGTGAAAGACCAGGAACAGATTGACCAGCTACTGGAGAAAATTGACAGAATGACTCTGGACAATGGCGGAGGGCACTACACTGCACGGTTGTTCACAAAAGCAAAAAAGGCCTCAAAGAAAGAGAAACGAAGACTTTCAAAGGAGCAGAAGGTGGCAGAGCGGGAGAGGAAGAGCACCCTGAAGGCTAAAGTTAAGAGCGAAATGAATTTAACAGGAGGGTCAACTAAACGCAGTAAATGTATTCTGCAGTAGGTGATGGAGGTGTTCTTCAGAAGCAGTGGAATTTGTGAAGCATGTTGTGATGCTCTGATAATTATGGATTAAATGATATGATGCATTTTGTAGTGCCTATACAGATACTTTCATTTTGTGTCAAAAGTTTAGCACATTGGAGTCTGTTTGAGCCAAACAGTTGTAAAATACTTTATTCCAAAATTGCCTCCTCTGCCTGGGCTGCTTCTAGTAAGACTGTCCATGTGATGCTGGATGGGTCAAGTTCCTCCAGACCAAAAAGGGAAAAACTTTTCTTTAAGGGGCTGCTTTATGCATGTAGACATAGTCATGTTGAAACAGGAGAGGGACAAAGACAAACTGTTGACACACAGGTGGAACAACACTGTATATATTGTACATGTTAATTATTGTGTTTACATGTAGGCGTATTGTATAGAGATTTTCAGGTACAAAACTGCAGGAATGGTGTTGATTTGGATATCAGGATGGTGTCTTGAACTCTTTTTGTTGACTAGGATTGGATGCATTTGATGCAGGTGGTGGAATATTATTTTTTAGTTAGACAGTCCACGTGTGTTAGCCCTGAGGCAGCTGTACTCTTCCTCTTGCGCAGTGCATGCTGGGATACATTCCATCCCCCCATGGCGCTGAACAGGATCAGCAGATAGATAGAATTGACTGATGGGTGGCCACATGGTAACTTGGAGTAAATCTGTTAAGCTTGACAAATGTACACCACAAAAGTACTTTAAAACCTCAAAAAAAAGCCTAGTCCCAATCAGACGCCTGTCCGTTTTACTGGTCTGGTGTGGCTACAAGTTTTTATAAATAAACACAGGTCTCAATTAGATGGCTGCTCTGTTTTTTATGTATTAAACCTCACTGGGTCGCTGCTTAGATTGTGCATACCAATATAAATGTTTAAACCTTTGCCAGTATGAGAATGCTGTACGTCGTTAGATCATTTAGATTCTCCACTTTTCAATCGTTTAGTTCATTTCTCTGAAACAATAAGCTTCAAAGTATTATTCATTAAGATTTACCGGTGTGGTAAAGGAATTAAAGGCCTGTCCCAAATAATGGCATGGTGAGTTCAGTGAAGCTACGGCTTATTAATTGAAGTTTTATAGTATATATTATATTTTATCATGACTTAGTGTGCTGTATACATATGTATAAACAGGGAAAACAGGTAGTTTTAGAGCAATTTTAATTCAAATTTATAATATTCAAAATGTATCCAGTGAAGTGGAGCCCGATGATTTCCTACTCAAGTGTATTCATGTGCCAATATTCTACATTTAGCTACAGTTCAGCTGTATATTTCACTCTGGTGAAAACAGACACACCTCTTCAGACAGCTCAGTTCACATATCAAACAACAACTCCAATGACAAATAAACATACTTCCAAGCAACTATATTTAATGTCCTGTCCTGCTTTTAGTTTCTGACATGAGATGATGAATCATTTCCAAGCAAACAGATGAATTCAGTCTATTAAGGTGAACAATTAGCCTAAGGCTAACTCTGGTGTAATGCATCAAAAGTTTACATTTATGTTATTAATTGCACATGGTCCCTTCTAAATAAAAATCAATCAAACAACAGTGCCACCCAGTGATTGTGTCCTTTATTGCACATTTTGCTTGTTGCTCACATATAAAATACAGACCTCATTTGTTACAAAAGTTCTTTGGAACCATAAGTGACAGAAAATGTATTTTTAATTATGTGACTTCAGGCATCATTTAAATCACAATTTTGACAAAATACCAATACTATTTATGCGTTATACCTATAGATACTCTCAAAGAAACTTAAGAATACTCTTTTAATTTCTCTTTTTTCTTTTCTTGAAATAAGATTGGTAAAGGGAAGGGAAAAAAGCTTGATCATTTAAGTTAGCTGCAGTCAAACAGGTTTTTCCATCTACTGATGACAATTTCGTCTGTGCTCCTGTTTACTGGGAGAAATGCCCAAATGTCAAATAATTGCTGCTATGTACTTTTATTTTTCATATTTATTTTTACAGAATTTTTACATTTTTCATTATTATTATTTTTTATTAACACACACAAACACAACTTTTACTGTTTTACTTACTTATTTAATGAAATGTATGAAATTAATTGTTCTTATGTAATCTCTAGCTTTGGCAATATTGTTGTTATCCATTCATGCCAATAAAGCTGATTTGAATTTAATTGACTTGAACTGAATCGAAATTTGTTTACATATTTGAGACCACATGACCCCAGCAGCGCTATCACGTGACGTGCTTAAGTCGTGTGCGCGCAAGCAGCATCCGCGCGCATTGTGCGGACACTCCGGGCACCGGGATGGACCGCCGGGTGTCTGCGGCTGCTGTTTTATGTTGTTTTTATTTGTCTTTGGAGTGTTGCTCTTGTCAGACGTATGTGCTGAACGACAAAGAAGGGCTGGGCAGGGTTTTTGACGGAATTGGAGGTCTGAGCGGCGGAGGGGTGAGTTCACTCGGTGTCGGACGTTAACTTCCTGGTTATGATAGCACCAACGTTACAGTCCACACAGGACAGCGTGACGTTCGCTGTCTGAATCTTACTGTTGTTATTGTCCTTGTCCATGTAACATGTAACATGTAACATGCTCCTCATGTAACGTTGTGTGTACTGGTTCCTTCAGGCGACGTCCCGTTTACTGGTCAGTTATGCTGAGCCATACCGCAGCCAGATATTAGACTACCTGTTCAAGGTATGATGCTATGATGTCTAACGTTAGCACACATGCAGTGCTGTGTGAAGGACCGCTACCCGGGAACTCACTGTTATGGTTTTATTTTACTGTCTTAAGCCAAACTTTGGAGCCTCTTTGCACATACTGAAGGTGGAGATTGGAGGAGACGCTCAAACGACTGGTGAGTGATATTTAGTAACACTATAACGTTTTTAAAACTTGCTTAAAAGCTGGGGAAGGCATTTTTTCCCCGTAAGTTTATATATAACGTTATATGTGTGTGTGTGTGTGTGTGTGTTATACTATAGTTGTTGAAATTCTCTTTACATCCAGACAGCAGTCAATAAATCAAATACTCTTATCAGTGGCTGTATCATGCTGTGTTCCAGTCAGGGTTGAAAGGTTGGAATTTCCCCAAAGCTTCAAGGTGCATGACAAACACTGACATGTTTATTCGGACCAAAGATATTTAGAATGAATCGCTGAGAATTACTAAACAATTAAAAAAGACAAAATATTAATATAACCATGGTAATGTCATGTTAAATGGCTGCTAGAGTGTCAACAGTTGACATGTGGTGGAAAGACTTCATGTATTTCTGTTTTGTTGCTTGCAGATATTAAGTTGTGATTACATGGTTTTGGCCTTATGTAGATAGAATATCTGCTATCATCACTAAATATATAAATACTTCTTTCATACTGGCATTGGGCTGATTAGACTGATCGTTTATAGATCATGTATGGTAGTGAAACTGAATTGTTTTCTTTCTAACTCATCCTAGCTACAGAGCAGCAGACCTCTAACAGTGGACCAGATGTCATTTAGGATAGTCAGCTGTTAAGACCTACTGATAGAGAAAGTGGGTTGCGTCAGGGCCACGGGTAAACACTGTGTACGCCTTGGATCCACAGATGATGGATTGTGTTATGCTATCATGGTTTTCCCAATACTTTGGACTATTGTCTTTTTCAAGATGGAACAGAGCCGTCACACATGCACTATGAGAATGACGAGAACTACTTTCGAGGCTATGAGTGGTGGCTGATGAAAGAGGCCAAGAAGAGGAATCCAAATATTACACTTATAGGTAAGGAAGCGTGTGTAATCTGCACTGCAGGAAACTCGAACTAACCGCTGTGAAAAGGAAATAAAGATAACATAAGAACATGATACTAAGACACTGACATTAATTAATATTCAAAATATGACTGAATGGATGTCAGGAACTCCTGGTTGAATGCACCATGAATACTTTTTTGAATGCTTATACATACTCATTAGGGTTGGGTACTGTTTGGACTGATGCCCAACAGTACCTTTTCACAGTCCTGACTTCTCAATTTCAACATTGTGATTTAATTAGAACATCATTATTGTTAACATTAGTAATACGTAAAAAAAAGTAATTAAAATGATAATATTTTACAACTTAAAGTATAAAACAAATTAATAAATATGTGATAAAGGCAGCCCTGCTAGGATGTGTTTTCTTTTTTAAACACTAACCATTTCCCTTACTCACAGGATATCTGTAATCTGATATCTGTATGTGGCTACAGTTTTAAGGGACTCAACCTTTACTTTCTGGTTTGACAAGAGGCTGGATGTCATATTTATAACGTGCACCATCACGCGGGGATACTGCAGTGAGAGTGAGACCTGCCTGAAGTGTGGAACAGCGTGCTTATTAACAGCTTATTCTCGCTGCCGCTTGTCAAGTTTACAGTTAACGGCAAACAAAAACGGCCCTCAGGCCGGTGGTGGCTGCAGGGGTGAAGGAATCTCACTCTCGTAGTCTCGCTCGCTCTCTTTCTACTCTTTTACTCAGATGCTCTCTCAGAGACCAAAAAATGGCACCAATTGATTTTACGTGTACTCGGTACTCTGTAGAACCCTGATACTCATTAGATGTGGCGTGACATGTTTCACAAGGTGTGTGTCTTCATGTAGGTTTACCCTGGGCCTTTCCTGGTTGGGTGGGCCATGGAAAGAACTGGCCCTATGATTACCCAGACATCACTGCAGCATATGTGGTGAACTGGATCCTTGGTGCCAAACAGTACCATGACCTGGACATTCAGTATGTTGGGGTGTGTATTCATTAACTTTGAATCTAATTCCTGTTTAAGCTCCATGCTGTGTGTTGTAGAACTGCCCCTTATATCAAGACAATAGAAGTGTGCTTTGCTAATTATAATGCTGACATTTGGAAAAGGTACAACTTGAGTCTTCTTTTAATAGACCAATTAGACCAATATTTCTACACTATTGGTAATAACATTGTACTCACCTGTTAATAGCTGACATCAGTGTGATCAGACAGGCTGAAAACAAATCCCCGTGTTAAACACTTATTTGGAAGTGAAAACAAAGGTGAGTGGTGGAACTGTTACCAAATTGTCTGTTGGAAATGTCCATCACAAATAACGGTTTGCAGACCAACGTCCTGGATAAACTTTTAACATACATAGTGTAGTTGCGTGTTCTCAGTTTCCCTGTACAATAAGGAATGAGGAAATTGACATTTCAGGTAGGACTGTCGTGGTGAGGTCATTTCCCCTTTTGGCTTAACAAGGTATTATTGACATTTTTGTTTTGTTTCATGAAAAACTTAATATATCTGGTAATGTTATGTATAATTTTAACTTAAGTTAAAAAGGCTACAGCTGTAGAGCCCAAAGAAGCTGTTGCCATGGTTACTATCCATACAGCGCCTGTTTTATGCTCGTCTCCTTGTCTATTCACCTGAGAAGCGCAGAGCGACCCCTGTGACCCCAAGCTTCCTGTGTGAAAAGATAGTCTGAGCAAGCTAGGTGCTGAGTGCTAGTCAGAGTGATAAAACCCTACCAAACAAATTTTATTATTAAGTAAATTTACATAAACCGGCAACTTACACAAATACACACGCTGGTGCTGAGCCGAATGGTCTTTATTAACAACTGACAACTGCGCTGAAAGTTAGTAACGTTATAGTTTAAGTTCCACAAAAAGCAACATGAAAAAAGCGCTTGAATCGTTACGGCCCTCATAATGCATGAAATTTTGAAGCACTGATTTATTCATTTAGCATGCACTGAAGGGTAAAAGGAGAAGGTATGAACATTGCGGTTGCTTGCCCCACATTTAAACACTGAACTTTGGTGAGTACAATGTTATCGTAATCTATTAGAATAATAGCCACAGGTATGAAAAACCTTGCCACTACCTTGGGGACAGCATTTCAAGTAAATATAGGAGCTGTTACACAAAGCAGGTCTGACAGAGTTCAGTTGCATGTGGTATGAAAACCATGTAATGCTGGATTGAGGAGTTTGTTTGAACAACAGATTACATGTTACCTTGAGGAGGGTGCTGTGTAATTTATAATTGACTTTTATCTCTTTAGATTTGGAATGAGCGAAACTTTGACAGCAAGTACATCAAGGTAATCCTCAACTCTTATCTTTCAATGTCCTATCATTGATTTGACTGGCAAATGTTAATTGTGGGTAAGCTTAGCCTAAACTTGGAAGGAAATGAGAAAAACAGCCACCAACTTTGAGTTGGTTCCCACATGAGAGATTCAGTTTGATTTTCAGCGGCTGACACGATTTGAAGTTCTAGCTGGGTTCCTCTGAGAGCATGTGTTTGTTGCCAAGGTGCTCCGGAACATGCTGGATAGAGTGGGTCTAACTGGGATTGGCATCATCGCAGCAGACGGCGATTGGAGCATCGCTAAATCTATGATCCTTGACCCGTACCTTAATGATTCTGTTGAGGTGGTTGGGTAAGTACAATCGGCTTGAAGTAACACTCAGAGGTGGCACGAAATTAAAACTCCCGTGTGCTGCGAGTCAAGACAATTTGATACCTTTTTTGATACCTGAGAACTGTCCGCTGCGTTTGGGGGTGTCTTTACTCAAATCTCTTGGCGAGTTGGGCTTGTCCTGATCTGGCAATTTCTTCTTTGCTATAAATCTAACTGCTGTGCTGAATCAAAGCTGAATGTTTGTGGCTGTTTTTCTGTTGGGCTAGTAACAGTACAGTCATAGCTGCATGTGTGCATGCTTCAGTATGGTCCACCTACTGTAGGAGCATGGGAAAGTATTTTCCTATAAAGGGTGACATATTTAACACTAAACATTGGTCACTCATTTGATGTATGTAACTGGACAGTATATTGCTGCCGTCATGTAAAATAAAAACAAATGCAACATTGCATTTTTCAAGTGGTTTAAAAGCTGCGCTCCATACAGTGGATCAAATGACTTTGTGTAATGTCAAAGGTGTCGTAGAGTGACAACCTCACAGACAATAATCACCGGGACTGGAAAAAAATAATTACATCTTTTTTTCACATATAGATGACGCT